TAAGTTCGAGAAGACCACAGAGAAATTTTTGAAGCCATTTGTTGTTAAGAAAATTAGAGAAATGGGGTGATCATGTGTATGGTGGTACAATAAACAAAAGATGGCTTTTGCTTGTTTTTACATAGGAGATATTACATCATCTTGGGAAGTCAATGTAAGTGAACAAGTAGAGACGAAAAAAATGGAAAAATTGATAGTGCCAGAAAAAAAAAAAAGAAGGAAAATTGCAAGCTTGAAATCTTTAAGGAGACAGGTGAATGGATTTTAATATACAGATGGAGATTAATCTTAGATGAGGTGGTACAATTTAACCACTGTTGAAAAGGATACTACCTTACATACTGATGTAGATTTTTTGGTATATTTGATTAATGAAACAGAGGAAACTCCTTTCTGAATTTTTTTTGCTTAAGATAATGTTAACGGAAAAGTCAGGTTAACCATTGAGTTTGTAGAAAGAGAAGACAGAAAGAAATTTGAGAGTTTGAGAAAGAAAAAGAGATGGAGAATAATCTTTTAGGAGATTTGCAAACAGATTGATTAGTAAGAGTGCTGGGAAGTTACATTTCAAAAACGTAAGATAAAACCAGCTAATATGGTCACATTCAGCTATTTGAATGTATGCACAGAGCAGGTAGGGTTGGATTTAACCAAGCTGCATTTTCTAGATGCTTATGATGAATGAAGAGGTAAGCAAGGAAGTTGTAGCTTTAAATTTAATATTTAAAATAAAATTTTAATGATTTCATTAAAAATGATTTTTATAATTGTCCCCAGTAAGTGGTGCATGCTAGGTATAATACACAGTGAGATATGAGGGACTGACAACAATGAAAACGTGGCATGGTCAGTGAGGTTGCTATCTCAGTGGGCACTGAAATACTGTAGAGTGCAGAATCCCCAGAGAGAGTGGGCTGGAAAGATAGGAGGTGGAGGTCAGAGAGTGAAATATCTGAAACAGATAATGGAGGAGTTTCTCATACTGGAAATGAAATTGTCTGCACTCTAGGACAGTGCTGTTCAAATAGCAATGTTGGGAATAATGGAAATATTATTTACCTGCACCGTCCAATTGCATAGTCAATGCCACCTGTGGCTGGTAAGTACCTGAAGTATGACTAGTGAGACCTAGGAAATACATTTTAAATTTTATTTAATTTTAATTAATTTAAATTTAAATAGCCATTATATGCCTAGTGATTACCATGGTGAATAGCATAGCTCTCAACTAGGATCATCTAGTGGGTGACTGATTTTTGTGTGCGAGCAACTGATTTCTGAGTGTGGGTAAGGTTATTGGAGGCAAATTCAAGAACTGAGAGCCCAGAGTATTGGAATTATCACCCACCTGAATTTCGAAATCACTAATGATAATCATGATAGGAGTAGAGGTCAATAAGATTTAAGAGAGTTGAAAAAATAATAAAGAAATGAGAAGAATTTGGTAAATGTAACAAAGTGAGTTTTTTAATAGCGTAACTGATAAAATAAGCTACAGAGATGCTGTAAGTTTTTAAGGGAGAAAAGTACAGAAATGTCTAAATTAATATGATCATACACTAATAATGATAGATGATACAGCTTTTTGGATCATAATAATATAAAGTATGTGAGAAGTGTTATCAATCTTCTTTCTCTCAGAAATAATTAGGAACCAGGTGACATTCTTCATCATTGTTCAAGCTAAGCATCATTTCATGGATAGTGAGAGGTTAATACTTTGTTAGGAAACTTTAAGGTAAGTGAAATAATTAAGGAAATGAGGATAAAAACCCAGTTTTTGCAAAATCTGGTGAAAGTTATGAGAGGTGAGGCCAGCTGGACTTCCTGGATGGAGTGGGGAGTTGGGGAACTTTCCTGTCTTACAAGAAGATTGTAAAATGTACCAATCAGTGCCATGTAAAACACACCAATCAGCACACTGTAAAACACACCAATCAGTGCTCTGTAAAATGCACCAATCAGCACACTGTAAAACGCACCAGTGTTCTGTAAAACGCACCAATCAGCAGATTCTAAAAGTAGCCAATTCTGGGGAGGATTGTAAAAGGGGCACTCTGATAGGACAGAAACGGAACATGGGAGGGGACAATAGGGAATAAAAACTGGGCACCCCATCCCGCTGCAGCAGCAATCCAGTCTGGTGCCCTGTGTGCTTTGGATCAGCACAGTAAAGCTTGCTACGGCCCACTCTTTGTGTCAGTGCCATCTTTAAGAGCTATAACTGTAATCCCAGTACTTTGGGAGGCCGAGGCAGGTGGATCACGAGATCGAGACCATCCTGGCTAACACAGTGAAACCCCGTCTCTACTTAAAATAAAAAAAATTAGCTGGGCATGGTGGCGGCCGCCTGTAGTCCCAGCAATTCGAGGGACTGAGGCAGGAGAATGGCATAAAGCCAGGAGGCGGAGCTTGCAGTGAGCCGAGATCGCGCCACTGCACTCCAGCCTGGGCAACAGAGCGACACTCGTCAAAAAAAAAAAAAAAAAAAAAAAAAAAAGTTGTAACACTCACCGTGAAGGTCTGCGACTATGTTCTTGAGGTCAGCGAGACCACGAACCCACCTGTAGGAACCAACTCTAGACACAGACCAGAACAGACATAGAAAACCATTCTTAATTTATTATTTTAGTAATCACCTATTTAAACTGGTCTTATTAATGTCAATGGTCTCTGCCTTTTCTTAATTCACCTAGAATAGTAAAAAGCATAGATTTATTATTTGTTTCCATATTTTTGATAGTGGAGTTTTGTTGATATATGACTTAGAGCCTCCAACAATTTTTTGAGTATTTCATCAATTTGTGAAAAAACAATGAACAAGCAGCATGTGTACATTTAGGTGTTTAGAGATCATGCACAATATTCCTAAAGAGAAAGTTTTCACATTGCCTTTCTGCACCTGCTTCACTCCTGTGGAGTGAGTGCACCTCATGCTGGACACCTTTGAGTAAGAAAATCTCCACACAGACATGAACGTTGGAAGTTTTAGATCACTCCCCAGTCATCTGAAACCACAAAACCCATACCAAATCCTCCACCTAAGTACAGTTATCTAATCTTCTGCCTCTCCCCAAAGGAAAGTTTTAGAGGAGATTGCTTAGTTTCATCACTCGGGTATAGCGTCCCCCACCGCCCATATTTTCCTGGGTTCTGTATTGACTACATCTTGCTGCTGTAACAAATTGCCACACATGTATTATCTTAAGGCTCTGTAGGTTAAAAGCGTGACATGAGTCTTACTGGGCTAACATCAGGGCTCTCACTAGGGATATATTCCTTTCTAAAGGCTCTGTGGAAAACGCTGTTTCCTTATTACCTTCCCATTATCTAGCCCAAATTCATTGGCTCCTGGCTCCCTTCCTCACTCTTCAGCTAGTAATATTGCATGTCCCTGAGCGTTCTTTTCTTTGTTTTGGTCACATCACCCTCTGACCACATTTAAGAAATATCTTCCATTTTTAAGGACTCAAGTAATTAAATCGTATCTACCCAGATAATCCAGGGTAATTTTCTCATCTCAAGGTCTGTAATCTTCAAAATTTACAGCATCTCTGTAGCTTATTTGATCAGTTACACTATTGAAAAACCGTAACAGTATCTGAAACATCCCTTTTGCCAAGGTGAGCCGCCATATTCAGAGGTTCTGAGGATTAGAACGTGGGCATCCTTGAGGGCTATTATTCCACCTCCCGCAGATTCTTAACAACAATTTACTTTGTTATATAAATCAGTAAGTTTAATGAAAAGTTATGGTGGGATTAGAAGTAGATTCAATTCCTTAAGGTGTATGTAAATCCTATGGCTATAAATCCTATGACCAACTACATGTGCAACATGTTGTTTTTCTCCTGTTCTTCCAGATAATAGAACACTGTTTATACAAACTGTTAACTCTTTATTGCTCATGTTGTGTTGTTCAAATTTATAATATCACAGTCAGAATGCTTTGTGCAGTGAGTTTACTTCACTTGTACTGGATGCATCTTTTCAGAGTATTTTTAGACCTAAGCGAGAGAAAATAGAAGTTGGTTATTTTATTAAGTTTAAAAAAAATAAAATCTAAATACATAGAAGTTTAAAGAGGCTTCAAGTCCTAAAGACACTCTAGAGATCCTCATTAACCAGTAGTTGTACGGATATCCAATTACTTCAGCACTCTTTGTAGCTGTGGTTGCCCCACATAGCATCATCTGATTTTGTAATCCAGAAATATAGCATGCTTTCTATAAGAATTCTGCTACCCTGCAGGAATGACTGAAAGACAAACAAACAACTAAAAGCAGTGAGCCGAGATCTCGCCACGGCACTCCAGCCTGGGCGACACAGCGAGACTCCGTCTAAAAAAAAATAAAAATAAATAAAAAATAAAATAAAAACTAAAACCAAAAAGACCTTACCATGTGCCAGTCTCATTCTCTCTAGAATCGACCTGCTTTTTTCACTTTCACTCTCCTGAAACTTCAGGTTTTAAAAATCTTTTAAAAATCTTGTCCTGTGTATTCCTTGCTGTCTGCAGGATTATCCTAGGGTGGTTGTTCTGTTGGGAACTTTTCCAACCTTGCCAGAAGAGGGCACTCCCATCCATATCCACGTTAAGTAGCTAAGTAGCTATCAATTTCTTCTCCATGCCCCATTACCAACACCATCTCACTCTCAATCTCTCGCTCTCTCTCTCACACACACACACACATACACACACACACACACACACACGTGTTTGAATTTCCTACAATAGCAGCCAGGTCTGTGGCACAGCTCTTCCTGTCTTAATATGTGTCTCTGCTTAATATCTGATGTGGCTGAGAATAAACTAGAACCAACGTCTCCAGGCAGATTAGCTAGCCTTAGGTAGATGTAAAGAAGACAACCTGACTCTTTTCTGAAATATTCAGAGCAGCCTCTACTTCCAGAATCATGGAGGTTCTCCACGTTCCTCCCGTTCTGCCTCCAAGCACCCCTTCTTAGCTGCACAGCAAGAAACAATACTGACAGAGCAGACAGTTTGAGATCTGTAACATTCTAATGAGATTATTTCTAAGGAGAATATTTGACTTTTCTCACTTTCTCTGCAGAGAAACAAATTGTCATTCTCCTCTTACAGAGGGGCAGTGGAGTGTCTCTGGGTCAGCTGAGTGCCTATATCAAAGCTCCCAGCCTTGAAAAAGACACCCTGTTCCCAGGCCTCAAGATATTGAAACATTAATTAGATAATTTAAAGTAGGGTTTTCTTCTGCAATGTCTGAAGAAGTGACCTATGCGACACTCACATTTCAGGATTATGCTGGAGCAAGGAATAACCGACATGGAAATAACCTAAGAAAAAAAGGTAGGAGTTCAGAGAACACCAGCTGTGTCCTTGGGGGAGTGGACAGGTGTTAAATGATTTGAGGTGCCGGCTTTAATGCTGGTGTTAAAGACAGTGTGCTGTGAAATCTCCAAAATGGGGACAAATCTTGTGGAATGTATTAGAAGAGTGAGTGTTCCCAAGGTTGAAGCGAAAATATGTGGCTTTCAGAACCTCTTTAAAATTGTGTGATATCACTATGTTTCAGGAAGCTCTGTGTTGTAGAGAAAAATTCTGACTGGACATACCAGAAATTGAGCCTGGGGAATTAGAGATTTCTTTTTATGAATATAATCCTTGATATTTATACCTTGTTAGAGATGCGAGGAGGATATTCTTTCAGAAACCAGATTGGAGGCTTCTAAAATAGAGAAGGTAGAGGACGTTTTTCTTTTAGATGATGTAAGTTACTTCAGAGAAAACTGGAAGATGAGTGAGTGGATTAGAAATGGATCAGAGCTAGTTTCTCTTTTGTCAGTATTTTTTCAAATTTTAGGGTAGTTGAAATCCAAGTATAATTTGTAATGTTGAACCAGTAATAATAGTATTTGGGTAGTATTTTATATACATTATATACAGATATAATTGTGATGATAATTCATAATAATATTCGAATATTAGTATTTTCTCCATTACATAGACTAAGAAACTGAGGCTGAGAGAAATTAGGTAATTTAACAAGCTCACACAACTGCTATGTGGGGAAGCCCAGACTCAGTGCTGGTCTTCAGCTCATTCTCTTATGCCTAATTGGAATAAATAGCAGTCTCCATGTTCAAGAATCAAATCAGATTCTGTGGACATAAGACCACATCTCTTATTTTCAGATATGTTAACTGTCCAGGTTCTCCTGAATCATGTCAGTCATCTGAACTTCTTTCTCCTGCCCTCTAGATTTATCTTTACGTTTTGTGTGGTACATGACATTTGAGGGAAGGATATTTACAAAAAGATGACGGGAATAGACTTTGCATGTGTCTAATAAAGGTGGTTCCACATTTTTGCCTTTTTTTTTTTTTAACTTCTAATTCTAATCTGTGATGAAAAAGGGAGGTGTGGATATGGTGCATATCAGTGCACCTGAAGACTGTAACGCTATATCTAAAATATTGGGCTAGATGTTATTTGGACCTAAATCAAGGGATACAAAGCTAAGGAAAATATGACAATCACTGATATTTTAGACAACTACTACTATGAGTAGGATGCTAATGGCTTTCTGGTCTATTCTGCTGTTTGTAAGTTAGACTGCACATTCTTTCTTTCTTTCATTCAATATTCATTAGTTATTAGGTGATAAATAGCATGAATCATAGATAAGTTATTGTTAACAGGTAAAAGATACTTTAAAAAGTAGAATCCACGTTTACAAGGCAGATAGAACATCTGCCTTATAGAGACTTTTGAGCTCAAAAGCTTGAGGTGTCTCCTACTGTCAGTACCATCCAGAAAAGCAGTTTCTAGATCTCTCATTTATGAATTCAATAAACTTGAGGAAGAAAAGTGGGTAATGATGTAAAGCAAAAACCTTGAAATTAGGAGAAGCTTCCTCTTAAAGGGAAGAAGAGTGGTGGAGAAATGGAGGGGAACAAATGACGGCACCCTCATTGCACTTCATATTAGGCATTTTCTTTTTCTTTCTCTTTTCTTTTTTTTTTTTTTGAGACGGAGTCTTGCTCTGTCACCCAGGCTGGAGTGCAGTGGCCGGATCTCACCTCACTGCAAGCTCCGCCTCCCGGATTCACGCCGTTCTCCTGCCTCAGCCTCCCGAGTAGCTGGCACTACAGGCGCCCACCACCTCGCCCAGCTACTTCTTTTGTATTTTTTAGTAGAGACGGGGTTTCACCGTGTTAGCCAGGATGGTCTCGATCTCCTGACCTCGTGATCCACCCGTCTTGGCCTCCCAAAGTGCTGGGATTACAAGCTTGAGCCACCGCACCCGGCCCTATATTAGGTATTTTCTAAATGAGGGCATCAAAGGAGCAAGAAAGAAATGTTAGTATCTGGAAGCTCTCTAAGTGTGAGAAATAAACAAACCAAAGCGAAACAAGCACGAAGCAGTTCTGTTTGCTAATTGCTTTGTGGGCTTTCTCCAGGGCATCCAGCTCCATCTCCCATTTGGCGTCATGCTGCCCTGGGTCTGCTAACTCTTTGCCTGATGTTACTGATTGGGCTGGTGACGTTGGGGATGATGTGTAAGTATATCCGCATCGAACCCAACAAAAGTAACTAGAAAACGTATTTGTAAACCATGTGTGATCAGCTTGGATTGCAGATGGGTCCTAGCATCCTGAATCCTCTGATACTTTTCTGCTGTCTCATATCTCTCCTATTCGTCATATCTTCCCAATAAACCGGCAAAAGACATTATCAGGATGTGGTTCTAAGTTCATTGTTTTATCTTGATAAGCTCAACTGGACTTAAATGAAGACTCTTTGTTTCTAGTTATTCATTAGAATAAAGAGCCTCTTTTCTGCCTAGACACACATTCACTTATCATTCCAAGGCTGAGAAATAAAGTCAAGAAATATGTACTGAAGGAAGTGCATGCTATGTTATTTACCTGGAAGACTTAGCACTAGACTAGGCTCAGTCTGCTTACATGAGACTTCTCTAGTGGAGAGAAATCTTCCAAGTAACAGCAGCAGCCTGATTTCAATGAATGAGAAAGACATATAAACAAGGAGGAAGAACGGCCTGATACACTTTACCAACTAAGAGAGTTGAACCATCTCCACATGACAATGGAAGGTCCACTCTCAAGCACCACGGCCACAAAGTAACGTTCTATTGATTCTGACCCATCCTTGGGCAGTTGGGGATGAACATGGTAGGGAGTTCTTGAGTAATGAGAAAAACATCCTGAGAATACAAACTTTATAGAGTTGTTAAGTATATGGTATACAGAGTAGTGAATTGGCATGGTATTCACTTACAGGGAACTCATAGTCAAGAAAGTTAATTTGCTGAATGATACTAATATCTCCTCTGCTACATTCACTTTTTAATGATTCAATGGATAATCTTTTAAGATTTAATGGATAATTAGGATTTGGACATATCTTCGTCAACACAAAAAGAGGTTAATGATGTGCCTTGCTCTTTTGAAAAGGAATATGATGTTCAAGCAGCAGTGACAGATATTCTGGAGCCAATCAGTATGAGATTAGCAATAAATATACAATAATGTATATTTAAAAATTAAGTGAAAATGCAATAACATATGTCCATTGGTTTGATATAGAAGGGTGACATTTCTTTTCTAAAATTTAGTGCTTTTGGTGCAGTGGTTCTTAAATTTGTTGTGCTGATGGAGCACCTTAAATGCTTATGAAAAGGGCATATTTCATGGACCCATGACCAGAAATGGTCTGATGTGCCATTAAGATCTGCTTTTTTTTCCCCTTTGGTAAACAAGCATCTCAGGTCATCTGCAGAGTTTGTGATATCCATTATCCCAAAGAATGCTGTTTTCATTAAAACAACAATTACATCATCTATTTCCAAATAAAATAAAACAAAAATAAGATAATTTCACGAAAATGAGTGGCAGAATGACTGGCCTTTCCTTAGATGTGATGTCAGAAATACATAATTATTAAATCATTATTTTAATATAGTGTAATAATAAAAATGTAAATAAAATTAAAAAGAACTATAAATAATTTGGAATAGAAAGGCATCTGGTTTGTTTCTTGCATGATACCTCAAATACTAAGAGCTACTAATGAATCGTGAACAATTAAGAAATGTTTCTGTCACAAGAATTGTCTACAGTTATGAGAATAGAAGAATATATGAACTTGTCTCTTGTCATGTCTTGGAGTTTTGCAGATATCTAATGACATTAACTCAGATTCAGAGAAATTGAGTCAACTTCAGAAAACCATCCACCAGCGGCAGGATAACTTTTCCCAGCAACTGGGCAACTCCAATAACTTGTCCATGGAGGAGGAATTTCTCAAGTCACAGATCTCCAGTCTACTGAAGAGGCAGGAACAAATGGCTATCAAACTGTGCCAAGAGCTAATCATTCATACTTCAGGTAATCAGACTTAGACCTGCTGACCAGTCAGATGGCATATGTCACCCTGGTCTAAGTTGATCACATGCACCACCTCAGAGTATTGAGAGAGTTATGTCATCCAATGAACCTCAGTGATGTTGCACCAAATTTACAGACAGCAAGGAAATATACAAATTCATTTAATATTTTTGAAGCCACAGGCAAATTTGGGAAGTATCTTGGAATGATACCAATCCAGATACTTCAACCCCTCATTTCATTAACTATTTCTAGGTGATCCTGTTGTTATGAAAGCTTAAAAGCATAGCTGGTAATTCTGAAGCCAGAAGACTAAGCCCTGAAAAGAGAATCCCTATTGCCCCAACCCATAACCAGGGGTCACCTTATTTTCAGAGGCTTCTAAAGCAGTATGGTTTCATAGTGCTGGCTCTCAGATCCTGTTGTTCAATTAAATGATTTTTGTTTCAAAGCCTTCTCCAGTCACTCCAGGATCATTCACTTTATATTATTGGGTATAATTTCCTTTTCAGACCACAGATGTAATCCATGTCCTAAGATGTGGCAATGGTACCAAAATAGTTGCTATTATTTTACAACAAATGAAGAGAAAACCTGGACTAACAGTAGAAAGGACTGCATAGACAAGAACTCCACCCTAGTGAAGATAGACAGTTTGGAAGAAAAGGTAGGGTTGAGTCTCTTTCTCTAGTTATAGACATTATCCATACAATGAGAGAGAAATAAATAAAATATCTGATTCACATGATGGAAATTCAGTGCATCTTGAATTAGAATTAATACATGAATTTAATGAATATTCTCATCTATCTTAACTCTGCAAACTGGAATGTTGGCACTCACATAAAACTTTTTCTCTGTTTTCTCAGGATTTTCTTATGTCACAGCCATTACTGATGTTTTCATTCTTTTGGCTGGGATTATCGTGGGACTCCTCTGGCAGAAGTTGGTTCTGGGAAGATGGCTCTGTTCCCTCTCCATCCATGTACGTCTCTAACTATTAAGGGTAAACACAAGCTTTCCATGGAATCCTGGGAAAATTAATAATGATTGTGAGAATTATAAATACAGACAGAAAAAGAGGAGTACAACATACTGAGAAAAGAGCTCCAGTAACAAACATTGAAAGAAGGTATAGTTTATTTCATCTCTGTGACAAATTTATGGTGAGGCACTGAACTTTATCTTTTGGTAGAAATGTGTTTATTTAACACACACACCCCTAATACTACATTCAAAGTATTTTATAAATATTAACCCTTGAAGAAAGCACTGTTACATTCCCACTTTATAGGTAGAAATATTATCACAGAGAGATTAAGTAATTTGCCTGAGGTCACTCAGCTCATAAATTGCACTTTAGGGACTGTGCACTCAGTCACTCAGCTGTTGTGATTCTCCATCACCTCCAATCCAAAAGGGTACTGCTGGTCATAAGAACACACAGCAACACATTTATTTATACCAAATAACTGTCAACTATTTTCTAACAAAAAGTAAGACTGAATTGACTGATTAGTTCAAGAATTAGTGTCATGTTGAGGACTTGCAAGTTACAACATATGTATGGCAAGTGTCTTTTATGAATTAAAATGAACTAAATCTTCCATTTCAAGGTTTGGATGAGAATATTTAAAGGACAAATAGAATATATAACACTTGGAAACTTTCAATTTTTTTAACTATTTAAAGTTATGAAAAAATAGATGTCAACAAAAATGTGTAAGGGGATATTAGGTTTGCTAAATTCTTTCACAGACGATAAAAAAAAATTTTGAGGAACACCTCTCATCATAAGTACATTTAAATGAAACAACTGTATTAGTATTTTAAATATAATAGTATTTTTATATTAGATAAAATTTAAGATCATTGGCATCTTAATGGATTTTTAAATTTTTTATTGATACGTAAGAGATGCATATGTTTTGGGGTACATGAGATAATTTGATACACTCAGATAGTGTGTAAAGATCAAATAAGTGGAATTGGGATATCTATCACTTTAAATATTTATCTTTTCTTTATGCTAGGAGCATTCAAATTATTATTTTCTCATTATTGTGAAATGTACAGTAGATTATTGTTAATTGTATTCACCCTAATAATCTATCAAATATTAGGTCTTACTACTTCTATCTAACAAGATATTTGTACCCATAATGGCTTTTTATCTACCTTCCTCCCCCAACAAATAATTATCCACCCCCTCCCTCCTGTTTCACTCTTTAAAGCATGTTGTCAGTTTTCTTAAACTGAATAATAATCACTCATCTTCTGTCAAAGATGTCATGCTTCAGCTGTGACTCAGCAGTTCCTTAAATCACAAGCAATGCTAGGTCTATTACTTTCTTTCTGGATACACTTTATCTTCATCCATTTCCCAGTGTTTCATCGTGGCTACTTCTACTCAAACACTAATCCCCTATTCTCTAATCACCGTTTTTAATCATATCAAGTCAACTAGTCTGGTTTCACATTAATAATAATGACAAAAAGCACATGCAGAGTAATACACAAACAAAAAAAGTGACAGTTACTCTTCGTGACAAGAGCAACACTCGGCATAATTGATTATGCCGAGAACATTCATTAAATTCATGTATTAATTCTAATTCAAGATGCACTGAATTTCCATCATGTGAACTGATTAATATTAATCTGAGGTGTTGCTACTAGACTGAGGGTTTCCAGGAGTAGTACCATGACATCATGTAAACACATTCCATGTTGGAATCTAAGATGTGTCCCTTCTCCCAAAGGGATTTTAATCATCCTTGGCCTCTCTACTCACTCTTAATCAAAGTGTGAGGGAGGTGGCCCCCACAGCAGGGTTCGGAACCTACAGACCCTGGCCCCTGAGACATGCAGCTGTCAGATAAGCCAGCACATCAGACTCAGGTTAAAGAGACTGAGCTTCCAGATTGTAGAACCATTTCCTTGACTACTGAGTAAAGGCCCAGGCTAAGATTTAGTAAGCCTAGCCCTGAAGCAAGAAAAGAATATGGCAGTGTAATGCAGGTCATTTAGGAAAACACAATGTTGGGCACACAGAAAATTTAGACCTGACAAGTATAATTTTCTAAAGAGATTATTTCAGGGTTAACATCACTTTCTTAGCAGAGGAAGTGAATACTATTGTCAGCACCATATCTATATAGTCATTCATTTCCTCTTTTAACGTCTGTCCTGTTCTCTTTTTACCCACCACATATGTATAACTATGTGAAAAGTTATATTTGTGCATAGTAAAATGTGATAGCTTTTTATAACAGAACGTGATTTTATTTTTATGTTTTTCTTCATAAAGTCCCAGAGAACTTCATGTACTTCTAATATAAGCTGAACTGAGTAGCTTTCATTAATGGAATTCCATATTTCTGAAGGACATACAAATTCTCAGCCCAGGATTTAAGTATTTGCTTAAAGAATTCTACCTGGGATCATGATTAACTTAAAATAAAGAACCCAGATGTGCCAGCTCCAGGCAGATTTTGTGCCAGTTTTAGGCAGCTTCAGAGTTTGAAGGTTTGTGGAGGCAGAAGTCTCTCAATATTCAGATACATGACATTGGCTGTAAGAGCAACTGAGAGCACTAAATAGTGATCATGTTTCAAATATAGAATTTATAATACATTTCAAATTAATTTTCAGATTTAGTACTAAAGAACTGGACCAGATCAATGGATCCAAAGGATGTGCGTATTTTCAAAAAGGAAATATTTATATTTCTCGCTGTAGTGCCGAAATTTTTTGGATTTGTGAGAAGACGGCCGCCCCAGTGAAGATTGAGGATTTGGATTAGTATGCTTCTTCCAAATTCTCCAAGAAGTAAGAGACTTGGAGAGGAAAGAGGAAACTACGGTACCAGAGCCAAAACCAGCTTTTAAAATGACTGTGTATTTACATCATCAGACGAATGAACTTGTTTAACAAACATTCTCCAGTTCCTTGTCTGACATCTTCTGATTTGATGTTATTATTCAGTCTTACAATTAACCCTGGGGACCAAGGGGAATAGCCATACTATGGCTTTATGATTGTCTCAGAATCATTTCACTGAATTTCTTTGCTTTCTCAAATAAAGACTCCTTTCTTACATTATTATTATATTGTCACGTGTGCACTAGGGTGATATTTAAATATTTAAAAACTAGGGTGATAATTAAATATTTAAAAACACAGGCCACAGCACTAGAACAAGGTCCAAGAGATGCCTGTCGTGATAGTTGCTGGATCATGTGGAGGTCTGGGGGATCCCAGGCTAAGGATCCTGGTAGCTGGGGCTGCAGCACTGTATCAACTGATTTGGAAATATTTTATTTAGCAAATGTTTGTACCACTGTGAACCAGCTAAGTGTCACCCTGCACTTGCAAAATAACTTTTCTTCTCCAACAACCCTACGAAAATAAGTATTTTTATTAATCTTTAAAATTTAGATGACTTGTAATCTAGGTGAAGAAACATAAGCATTTAATATTTACTTTTTTTTTTTTTTTTTGAGACAGTGTCTCACTTTGTCACCTAGGCTGGAGTATTGTGATGTGATTGGCTCACTGCAGCCTTGATCTCCTGGGCTCAATCAATTCTCCCACCTCAGCCTCCAGAATAACTGGGATTACAGGCATGCAACACCATGCTCAGCTAATTTTTGTATTTTTTTGTAGAGACGAGGTTTCACCATGTTGCCCAGGCTGGTCTCAAACACCTAGGCTCAAGCTATCTGCCAACCTCAGCCTCCCAAAATACTGGGATTACAGGTGTGAGTCACTGCCCCTGGCCAATAGTTACATGTTTATCGTTTATCTAGATTAGTAATATTGATGTTACTGATTTTGTAATCTGGGCGTTATTATAAAAATATATTTTCTTACAATTGATATTTTGTTTCCCTCAGAAAAGTCCTAATAAACTGTTTGAAGACATTAAAATATAAAAACCATTATCTTTAATTATTTAGGCCTTTCCTGAATCACAGTTTGTCAGTGTTCCTGCACACTAGATGCTAAATATTGTAAATCTAGGGTTCAAGATTTTTCCTGGAACAAAATTGCTGATTTCAGAATACTGGTAAAGGATATAGTTTTCCATTTATCCTCACATCGTTCCATAGCTATATGTAGGCAGAAAATAATGGTGAAATTAGCCTTTGATACTGATTTTGCTAGATCAGAAATCTAGAATTTACTGGAAAATTGATATAATCCAAGTTCAAAGTTAGCTGCATTTCAGTACTTTGACAGTCCTTTGAAACTACAACTTCATACATACCATCTAGTAGCTTCTTATTCTCTAAATATTTAAAATTATGAACTAATCAGTGTTTTATATATGCACCAACAGAAACTGTAGAATAAAGGAAAAATGTCAACGTGAAAATTTAGTAAGAATTACAAACAATATATTTAAGCACAACTTTTGAAATACAGGCAATTATCATAGTTCAAGTAAACAGAGTCCTAGCTCTTATACAGGATTCAAACATAAGTTACATACACATGGATTAAAGAAGAAACTTGATTGTTTCATTTCTCTTTCGCAGTATGCCCCTGGCATTCTCACAAAGATAAAATTATTTATTAAATTTCAAAATCTCTGCCTCTGACTCCCACACATTTGGATTTCATTTTACTCCCAGGAGAAAAATAACTTCTTTCATTCCTCTATTTCTAATAAGAAGATCTACTTTTAACAATTAGAATACCTTAATTGGTTATTTTGTTCCTATTAAGAAGTTATAGGTTTTTTTCTGGTATATTGTATATTTTAATTCTTATTTCATGTAAACTCTTTTATACTCATTAAAAGTTCTGTTTCTGACCTCCCAGTGCTCTGGATCTTGATCAGCTCTTATTACTAAGAGCCTCCTCCTTGCTGCCGTGCTATCATCGTGTCATCCCTGACGGCCTCTACAGTAGATGCACAAATCCAGAGTTCTCAAGATACATTAGCCCTTTGTGTCAGAATGCTTCATCCTTTGATTCTGGTAACTTAGCTTATGAGACAGGGCTTGTTTCCAGAAATTTTCATCTCTTTCTTTTTCTTCTCTCTTCCTTTCCTACTGCCCCCAACACCCTCTCCAGTCAAAATCCCTGAGCTATTTTATTTATATATACAGGTATGTGCAAATGGTATATTTTTAGGGGGAAGACCATTGATGTGGTTTGGATCTGTGTCCTTACCAAACCTCATGTCGAGATGTAATCCCCAATGTTGGTAGTGGTGCCTGGTGGGAGGTGACTGGGTCATGGGGACAGATTTCTCATGAATGGCTTAGCACCATCTTCTTGGTGCTGTTCTCATGACAGTGAGTTCTCACAAGAGCTGGTTGTTTAAAAGTGTGTAGCATTCCCCCAACCCCCACACCACACCCTCTCTCCTGCTCCTGCTCCAGCCATGTGAAGTACCCACTCCTCCTTCATCTTCCATCATGACTGTAAGTTTCCTGAGGCCTCCCTAGAAGCCCAGTAGTTTCCAGCATCATGCTTCCTGTACCACCTGAAGAACTGTGAGCCAATTAAACTTTTTTCTTTATAAATTACCCAGTCTTGAGTATTTCTTTATAGCAATGTGAGAATTTAATGTGGGTTCCAAACCTGGCTTCACATCAGATTTACACAGATAGTACCTTAAAGGCACAGATATTTGTGTCACACATCAGATCTATAAAATCAGAATGATTGGAAGACAGAAATGGAGAATCTATAAGTTTCTCAAACTACACAGGTGATTTTTATTAACTCAGCCTGAGTGGCAATGTTTGGATAAATAACATCAATACTAACTCCCTGAGCAAATAGGCCCAGAGACAAAGGTGCTGGAACCATCTTCAAATTGAATGGCTCTTTCTGCAATGTTAGCAAAATTAGTTTGGTTTGTGCAGACCACATGAGGTCAGGACAGGTCAGAATTGGTACAGATGTAGTGACAATTCTCAGCTATTTCACTGTTGTAATCTTAGCCAACAGCCCTTACTGAAGGTATTAATTGGCATGGTCAGGATGGACAAGTGATATGGAGTTTGATCTATCTAGCTCTTTGAAAATAGTTTTCAATTTTGCTGCACACTGAAATTATACTGGGGAACTTTGAGGAAATACTGATGTCTAAGATTGTCCTACCTCTTAAAATGCTGATTTCAATGATGAGAAGTGTAGCTGGATTATTAAAAATAATTAAAGTTTCCTATATGATTCCAATGTGAAGCTAAGGTTGAAAATCCTTGTACTGAGGTAGGCCCAATGGCCCTTATTCCAGTAAAATAGCCAACCCTCCATTATATATTAAGAAAACAAGTGAACTAGCTCCATTGGTGATGAATACACATGGTTGAGGCAGGGACAATAGTGTTGATGGCACATTCGAGGCTGCATACAAACATATATAAACATACTTGTATATATTTGTACTTACATGCAGAAGGATTTAGACACATTAGTTTTCCTCAGGGTAGGTATGATGGAGTCAAATTGGGCAAGAAGGGGAGATGATACACTTTTGGAATGAGAATCCACTGTGAAGCTGAGGACTGAAAACAAGAGGCAGATTATAAACAGGTGGCCAAAATTAACAATGTGGTCCTCAAGCAAATGTAATTTTTTATTCCACAGGTATATTAGTTTTACTGAAAAAGTAACTACAAGTTGTACACCTGTCTGTCTGACTTCCTTCCTTCCTTCCTTCCTTCCTTCCTTCCTTCCTTCCTTCCTTCCTTCCTTCTTTCCCTGCCTCCCTCTCTCCCTCCCTTCCTCCTTTCTTCTTTCATTCTTTCCTTCCTCTCTCTCTCTTTCTCTCTCTCTTTTTCAGGGTATATAACAATATAAATATAATAAAACACATCTCTATGCTATGGAATATTATTTAGCCTTTAAAAAGAAAGAAGCCCTGCCACTGCAGCAACATGAATAAATATGGAGGATGTTATGCTAAGTGAAACAAGCCAGATACAGAAGGACAAATACTACATGATACCATTTGTATGAGGAACTTCAAATAACCAAACTCATAGAAGCAGATAGTAGAATGGTGGTTGCCAGGGATTAGAGGAGAGGGAAATGAGGAAGTATTAGCCAAAGGCTAGAAAGTTCAGTTACACTAGATGAATAAGTCCTAGAGATCTACTGTACAGCATAGTGCCTACAGACAACAATACTATATTATATGTTTAGAATTTTCTAAGAGGGTAAATCTTATGTTGTGTTTTTATCATACAAAAATAATAACAATAAATAAAGAGGGTGGGAGGACTTTTCAAGATAATGCCTATGTTTATGGTACACATTGTTGTGATGGTTTATTTACATGTGTATACTTATCTACAAACATTAAGTTGCATATATTACATATGTACAGCTTTTAAATGTCAATTATATCCAATAAAGTGTTTTTTAAAGAAGACATATTTATGAATGAGGCAAGCAAGTAGGGATGGCATGCCTAGTGGCTTCAAATCAGCCAACATCAGACCAGCAACAGAGGCCATGGAGGGAAATAGCAATACATAAGGCAAGAAAAGTGCCTCATCTTGAATTATAGCTCCCATAATCGTCACATGTCATGGGAGGGACCCAGTGAGAGGTAATAGAATCATGGGGGCGTGTTTTTTTCTGTGCTGTTCTCATGGTAGTGAATAAGTCTCATGAGATCTGATGGTTTTATAAAGGGGAGTTTCCCTGCCACCATGCAAGACATGACTTTGCTTCTCCTTTGCCTTCCACCATGATTGTGAGGCCTCCCCAGCCACATGGAACTGTGAGTCAATTAAACCTCTTTTCTTTATAAATTACCCAGTCTCGGGTATGTCTTTATTAGCAGCATGAGGACAGACTAATACAATAGACCAAAAAAACTACATTTTTAATCATAAAAGGAATGAAAATTACCAAACAATGTCTCCTAAGGGATGTAAGGGCATCCTGGTTATAAGAATTCTAACAGGAATTCCAACTCATTTTTTAAAATGAGTAATTTTTAATTTTCTAGTAATGCATATTTCAGTACATGCATTTTCCCAGTATTTGAAATTGCATAGATCTCACTTAATAACAGACCAGAACTTACAAATTTAGTCTTAGGTAGTTTGTAAGAGATGTAAACTAGTATCATA